GCAGCAGCAGAGGCGTGATGGGGGCGTCGCCTTCCCCTGATCGCCTGTTAACCTCCCACCCCTGAGGGCTCCTGGATTGTGAGAGGGGGCAGGCTGGGCTGAGGGACCCCCCGCCTCCAGTACATGAATTTTCATGCACTAGGCCTCTAGTTTGTAAATATTTTTGAGATCCTGACTCTGCAGAAATGGGAATGTGCTAGGCATGGAAGAGAGACAAAAGCAATGTAACCCCTCACTCTTTTCCAGAGCACACATTAGCTAGGGAACAAGGCTTACTTTAAAGCAATTGGTGCCAATGCCAGAGTAAGTCCCACACTGCACAGAACAGGAGGCAGGTGCTGTGAACGTGAGAGGAGGGAGGGGTCGCTGGCTGAAGTGGTCTGAGAAGGAAGGCTTCCTGGAGGAGGGGACCTTTGAGCTGAGCCTTGAAGAACAAGGTAGGACGGGGTGATCATGGAGAGGAAAGGATGCCAGTGGAGAACAGCATGACTTAAGGTGCAGAGGCCAAATGTATTGCAAGGAAGGACACGGCAAAGCCCTGAGCTGGTGGCAGTGGAGGGCCCAGAGCAGGTGCCCACCTGTGCCCTGGAGGTGGGAGTAGACCAGGAAGGCTCACAGCTCCCACTCCCAAAGCAGGACAACACCATCGACTTCCTGGAGTACGTGGCAGCCCTGAACCTGGTGCTGAGGGGCACCCTGGAGCACAAGCTGAAGTGGACCTTCAAGATCTACGACAAGGACCGCAACGGCTGCATCGACCGCCCGGAGCTGCTCGACATTGTAGAGGTCAGTGTCTGCCCCTGGTGGTCAGTGTGCATCATAGTGACCAGTCATTCTGCTGTTCGGTCGATTTGCATATTACCCTTTTATTATATAGGATTCTCTTTTCCTCTCTGAATCTCCATTTTCCTCTGTAAAGTAGTGTCGGGATCATCACAGTGCCATCCACATCCCTCATTAGAGGGCTTTTGTTTTGCTTTTTAAGACTTGTGTTTTGTGGTTTTGGAGTTTTTTGATGTTTGGGGTTTTTTTTTAATCCTCATGCTTTTATTGATTTTAAAGAGAGAGGAACAGAGAGACGAGAGAGAGAAACATTGATGTGAAAGTGAAACATGGATGTGCTGCTTCCCGCACGTGCCCAGACTGGGTATCTAACCCACAACCTGGGCACGCTCCTGCCCTGTCAGTGGTGGGAGGGAGGATGCTCCAGCCAGCTGAGCCACACCCTCCAGGGCTCATTAGAGGTTTTGGGTTTCATCTTTGGGGCTCACCATGGAACCGCAGGTGGCATCGGGGTGGGGCGGCATGTGCGGTCAGGATCCCCAGTTGCAAGTAGGCCAGTGGGACCCGGAGGCACATCAGTGTTGGTTTGGACCTGGGTCCTGTGGGCCTCGTATGGACGCACAGCTGGGGGGCAGCGCTGGGGAAAGAAAGGCTGCGGGCTTGTGGGTTGAGGGAGCGGCAAAATTTGTCGGGCCGCCCACCCACTTATGCCTCTGGCTTCCCCCACAGGCGATTTACAAGCTGAAGAAAGCCTGCAGGGGGGAGGGGGAGGCCGGGCAGCAAGGCCAGCTGCTCACGCCCGAGGAGGTCGTGGACCGGATCTTCCTCCTGGTGGATACGAACGGAGACGGTAGGAGGGGCAGAGGGGGTGGCCCACCCATAGCGCCCCCGCTTCCTGGCCGTGTGACCTGGGCAGACCCCTCCGCCTCTCAACTGGTGTCCTCATCTGTGAGCTGGGTGTGCAGAGGGCGCCAGGAAACAGCAAAGGGGGTCTCTAGCCCATGGCGTTTGTAAGAGCCATTAGAGCCATTAAACTCCTACCGAGTGTCTGGTGGAGGCCGGGCCAGCGAGAGGGTGGGAGCTTGGAGACGGGCAGGACAGACGATGGTACATGATCTCTCAGCCTGGTCTGGAAGCGGGTGATAATGGCTGAGAGGACGAAGTGGGTAATTAAAGCCCAAGGCTGTGCAGGGAGGCAGTTGTTGGGAACACGCCCAGAAGAGCCCTCCAGAGCATGCCCAGGGCTGCGCGGGCAAAAGGAACACTTCAGTTCATTCCGAAGAAGTCCCTTTAGAAAGCCTGGAAGGCTCCAGGAGAGCCTGGAGAATCCCAGGTGCTGGGCTTAGGCTCCTGTGTGAGAGCTGCAGGCCCCCCACCCCCCCACATCCAGAAGGCCTCCCCTCTTCCCTCCCCCCTCCCCCCTGCCCCTTTTCTCCCCATCTTCCGCAGGCCCATCTCTCCCGCCCCTCTCTCAGGCCAACTGTCTCTGAATGAGTTCATCGAAGGTGCCCGCCGGGACCAGTGGGTGATGAAGATGCTGCAGATGGACGTGAACCCCGGCGGCTGGATCTCCCAGCAGAGGCGGAGAAGTGCCATGTTCTGAGTCCACAGGCCCCGCCCAGACTCCAGGCCCAGCAGGTGTCCGGGAAACACCTTCCCTGCCTCTGGGGAGAACTGGGGGCCTGACGCCCTGGGTTCCAGGTCAGGCTTTGCCTCCACCTCTATGTGACCCCAACGGCCACTCTCCTCCGACCTCGGCTACCTGGTCTGCCCCGTGAGCGGGGCTGGACTAGACCAGCAGCTTTCAGATGATTATTCTTTAGATTTTGAATTATTTTTGTTATACAAATTCTGTGCACAACCCCGAAGTAGAAACTAGATGAAAAGGGAGGCGCTCTGGTTGAAGGGGGCTGAGCGACTCAGACCCCTCCCCCGCTGGAGCAGAGGCACCTCTGAGAACGCGAGGCTGGTCATGTTACCCAGCGTTACCCACCTAGAGCGGGACCGGGAGACGCGCTTGCTTTACCGTGAAGAGGCATGTCTTTATGCTGATGCACAAAAAATAAAACCAACCTGCTGAGCCTGTGGTTTCGTAGGGCTGCTATTTATATAAAGGCTCCTATAGAAATAAATTTTAGGTGAAAAATGGCTGATTTTAAAAAAGGTAATAATCCAGGTGGGACACAGATAGGCCCCAAGTCATGAAGGTGGTGTGTGGATGACGATGGGAAACGTCCTTATTCTGTCCAGATACCCTCCCAGCTCTGACCTTCAGGGTTTCCCAACAGGCAGCCACCAGAGAACAGAAGTGCCAGCTCCCTGTGTTTCCAGGCTGCCCAGCATTGACCTTCATCATCCCTCCACGTCCGTGCTCAGGCCCTGGCTGGCTTCCAAGGGTTGGACAGGATGGGTGTGAGCAAAATGCACCCTCTCACCCGCCCAGGGGGGCTCTGCAACCAGGGGCTTCACTCCCCTCTCCCCCTTTTCTCCCTCCCGCTGCATTTTTATTAACTCCATGCATGCACCCCCCCACCCCACCCCCACACACACAGCAAAGTGAAGACTCACACACACAGCAAAGTGAAGACTCAAAGCCCAGAAGAGAGAGCATCTTGAAAATGGGCACAACTGCTTCAGCCTGTCTCTCCCAGGTCCTCGGACAGGTTTTCCTAAAGTTGGGGTGTGCGCAGAATGGGCAGGAGGCCCACCCGGAACAGGTTGCCCCACTTCCCAACTGATGCCAGGTGTCCCCCAGCAGGGATGGCCCGGCCGCCTCAGTGAGTCACGGAGCTGTGGGGCCCAGGCGTGGGCACCGCATGCCACCAAGTAGCCAGCAAGGGAGAAGGAGGCTTGCACGGTCACTTCTGAATGAATACGGATTTCCTCTGGATAATCGAGGACTTTCTATAATACCACCTCACCCTCCTCCACTGCTTTAGCCAGCGTCCGACTCAAGCATCCCTTCCCACGGGGTGTGAATGCGCGCACATGTGGCTGTCATTTGGTCATGATTCGGATCTGCACTCGCATCTAAACACTCCATCCTCATCTCCTTGGTAGCACTGTAACCTCTTGAAGGAGGTGTTTCCCCCCCCCTCCGCCCACAACTGGGACTCTTGGAGGTGCTCCCTAAAAATGGATATGATGACCCCTTATTGTTTCAAATTAGGTAAAATGTAAATCCTAAGAAACACCCCCCAATTTACACCTAAGAAAGCTCCTCCCACGTCACACAGCCCCCACATGGGACACAAACACATCACAGAGCATGCACCCTCCAACCTCTCCCACACATCACCTTCTCCACATGCAACCCTAACTCCTCTTTCACGTTCAAAGTCAAGGGCCACCTCTGTGAGGCTGTCTCTGAATCCAATTCACTCAGTTTCCTGTGCCCCTGCAGGAGTCCATTCATAGCTTCCCTTAGCATATCATAATAATAAAAGGCTAATATGCGTCACATCATGATCAGCAGGGACCTGAGGCTGCATGGTGCCTGGCCGGGGCGGGGGACCTCAGGCGGTGCCCACCACCCAGCGGGGCTTGACGGGGACCTGAGGCTGCACCCCCCCCCCCCACCTGGCGGGGCTTGACGGGAGTGGGGCCGGCCAGGTCTGGGTCTCCTGTGATTTTGAAATGTGTGCGGGTGGGCAGGGACTTGACTCTGGGTCCTGTGGTACGCCCCAGACTCGGACAGGAGGGAGATTTTCATATACATTTTACTAATTTTCTTTCATCTCTGACACTTCCATTATAGAGAAAGGGCAAATAGCAATATTAAAATATTTTCTCTAATTAATTCCCTTTTAATGTGAATGAATTTCATGCAGCGGGCCACTAGTTTTATTATAACGAACTTAGCCTGTGAGTTCCTTGAAGATGAGGAGGCTCCTCTTCCTGCACATCTAACATCTAGCCTTAGTACATAGTAGGTGTTCAGTAAATGCTTGTTGAGTGGGAGGGGCAAATCCATGCCAAGCACAGGCGAGGGCTCGGTGGTCCTGGGGCTCCTTGCAGCACCAGGATGGAGGCTGCGGCCACAGGCCCTGGAGGGTTCCATCAGATCAGCCTCGCACTTCCATGCCTAGAGAGTGGGCCTGCAGAAGCTCAGGGGGGAAGCTGGGGGGGGGGGTGCCAGACGGGCAGAGGGCTGCCGGGTGCCCCCAGTAGGAAGAGTCACCACCAGCTAAGTCACACAGAGGCTCAGCAACTGTGCTTCACCGTCCCCACCTCCGGACCCCCACCCTGGCCTGTGCTACCACCGTGCAGCCAGCGCGGGGAGCTGAGCCCCGAGTTCGGTAGACTATCTAGGGTAAAAGCGACAATGGCGACGCCAGCACCCCCCCACCCCACCCCACGC